GCGAACCTTCCGTGCAGCATCTTCGAGCTCCCTATCCCGCTCCTCCTAAAGCTTCTTGGCCTTTTCATCTAGGTCCTCCACCGCAACTTGGGATTTCTTCAGCTCGAGCTTAAGTGGAGAACCGTCCTCGGTGTATACCACGACCATCTCCAGAATCTTCATCAAGGAAGGGGCATTTTGCGCAAGCATTGCCCGCTTGTTGGGGCGGTCCATTTCCTCAAGCTTTAGAGATTCTGCTTGTGGAATGGATAGGGAAGACCCCTTGAAGAATTTCTTGTTATGCAGACAAGGAGGCAACTCGAACTTGCTTTTGATGGACTCCCGACTGAGGTCCACAATTTCATTCATGCAGGCGCGCATGGGCCTTGAGCTCACGAGCAGAGGGGACCTCTGAGTGCCCGGAGGAGTTAACGATGAAGTCAACCCTGTCAGCGGGGGAGTCGTTCTCTAAACAAGGAGACTTCTTCCTAGGGCAGCGCCACCCTTCATCTTTCCTTGGGCATGCTTTACCATCCTCTCCTGTGTCGAAGATATTTTACCTGCAAAAATAACGAGCACGTCAGCATGTGGAAAGAAAAACGTCTAGAATGAAATAAGAAAAAGCGAGAAGCTACCCAAAAGTTTGAGAGCCTCCTCACGAGTGCTACACTCGAGGAGCTCTTTAGTATTAATGTACCAGGCTTCCACCTGTAGCCCCCCATCTTCCTCATGGAGCACCTGCCCGGCGCGAGTCACGCACTGAGCAGGGAGAAAGCCATCCACGAAGGCCACCAGCTTGGCATAGTTGGTCCGATCATCATCGACCAACTAATGAGGAGTAACTATGTACTCGTCAATCGGGCGCGTAAAGTGAGCCCCACTCCAGCAGAAGGGGAATGTAAATAACCTCCGGGCAACTATTTTACCCTCCTCGTCTATCAAGTCCTCCCCATTTTCGTCCTTTGAGACCTCTCATACAAAGGTCGAGTCAGTAGCTCTCTCTGACACCGACTCGATCACATGAAATCTATCTTTAAAGATCCGAATAGATTCGGAGAAGGGCTTGAACAGTTTCTTTCCCTGCTTCAAGGAAACCCAACCGAACTTCCTCTCCGACACCTGCCGTTGAAGATGAAAGATGGTGAAGAAGAGTGGAAGGGTGGCCCCGATCTGCAAGTATTCGCACACCAATTCATACGCCCGCATTAAGGCAATGGAATTTGGGTGCAATTGGGAAGGCGCCAAGTCAAGATGCACGAAGATTGCCCATTGAAAGTCTGTGAAGGGCAACCTCAGCCCTATCTCTTTAAAAACATATTTTTACATGAGAAATCTCTCCCTGAACGCCAAATATATACGTTCATCCTCTAAGTGGAAGTGGACCCTCCACTCTCCCTCCGGCCCCACCGTGGTAAACGCGTCTCCGATGTATGAAGTGAAGAGTGAGGCATGCTCCATTGGTTCAGCCACGGTCCACTCATCGACTGATGTCCTCGCGGTAGTCATCCCTCCAGCATCAGGGGACGAAGAGTCATCGTCTGTTTCAGTATCCTCTAAGGAGCTATCCTCGGACAAATCTCTGGGGTGTTCGTCCTCGTCAGACCTGCGCGACAACGCTTTTACCTGAAAAGCAGAGGAAAAAAGTGAATTCGATGACAAAATTAAATCTACCCTTCCATTGCTAGTCAAGTGAAAAGGCGCACAAAGGGCCAAGGACAAAATCTTCGACCTAAACCCTACTCAAATGGCAGAGCTAAATGATATCAGTGCCCAGGGGTCCACCCCGACACGTCCAGGGAAAGACCCCTGCTCACAAAATCTAGAACTCTCATGAGGGAACCACCAGAATCCATGGCCCCCTTCGGCAGCGAACACCACCATATCGTCACTGCTCCAGGATCAACTAAGACCTATGGTGCACTAATTCGCCCTTTTCTAAAAACGACCACTACATCGCTGGCAACAGAAAGATGGTTGTGCCACCGTTTGCCGCCAACAACCACCACAAAAATGCCCTAGAACTACTTCGTTTCAATCCTAACCACATGCATTCTACAATATCAAACCAGAAAAACAAAGAGTAAGCAAGGAATCAACATACTTGGTCGAGGAAGAAGTTATGGACTTAAGTAGCTCTGGTCTCCCGTCGTACGGTGGCCGGAGCAAAACTTGAAGGCAGCAAGCGGCGGAGAACGGGGAACAATGAGCAAGAAGAGAGAGAAGCGAAAGTTCTGAATGAACAGAACCTCTCATTATTTATAGGCAAATGACAAGCATGAGCACGCGCGGGTAGAGCATTATCATGACCCTAGCCATCATTGCGCATTTAATGCAGCACACAGCTCGAGGCACATGTGGCACATCCGCTCTTCAAATCCCATCAACCGTTGGGCTCCCCGGATCTCAAGCTCCCCAACAACAATGCTTTAGACGCACGGGCAAGTGTTTCTTTGGACACAAGGAAGCTTACGACGACTATGCTCGTAAAGCAGATTATCCTTAAGTCATCACTACCGTGCTCGGTAGTAACGACTTGAGGGGCTACTATTCCGGGCTGACCCAAAGGATAGGCATGACCCGATCCATTTCTGCTCCCAGAACGACCCAATTGCCTAAGTCCAACCACTTTGAGGGGAGAACTTACCTTTCTTCCCCTCCAACGGGGGAGGCTGACCAGTTTACCATTGACCACAACACTCCTCCCTGTCAGTCTTTGTCCGTCACGCACGGTTCCACCATCCAGAAACAACCAAAACGCTTGTGCCCGTAACTACGCTTGTGCCCGTTCCAACGGCTAGTAATGAGCACGTCTGCCCGTCCCAACTGCTAGTTCTGACAGTTACCTATTCTTCGGGAAACAGTTATCTCGCCCCAAAAATAGAGACCAATGGTCAAGCGCTAGAGGCATTATATAAACCCTCTCATTTGAGAGGGTCAGGTATTAAATATTCACCCTGAAACACATATATTATGTACTTGCTCTCTCTCTCTCTCTCTCTCTCTCTCTCTCTCTCTCTCTCTCTCTCTCTCTCTCTCTCTCTCTCTCTCTCTCTCTCTCTCTCTCTCTCTCTCTCTCTCTCGTTTTCTTACTTTAGCATCGGTGTGCCTTGTAGTTACACTCCTTCCTCCTCTTTCACACCCAGCATCACAGACGCTTGTCTTTGGCCCAACTCAGTTTCTGATCAACTGGTAAGATCATATATATATATATATATATATATATATATATATATATATATATATATATATATATATATATATATATATATATATATATATGCATGTGTGTGTGTGTGCGCCGCGCGCGTGTGTATCCATGTCTGTGTGTGTGTGCGCGCGTGTGTGACTGTTATGTGGGGGATGGTATTTGAGGAGTTAAAGGTTAACAGGGGTTTACAATTCCGTCTTTCATAGCTCTAGGATACTTATCGGTCACTGATGGAGCATTCTATATATGAGGTGGTCACTAAGGTGTACATGTTGCATCTTGATGGATGTGCTATTTTAGAGGATATGTCTGATGTATACAACGATGTCAAATATATATCTCTTTTTGTTGACTTTTAGTTCCTCTACTGGGCATGGGGTTATGTTAATGTGACGAAACTATATAATGTCATTGAAGAGGCAAATACTTTTGAGACGAGACAACTTGTAGGTTACATGACTCTATTTCATGTATAAATATTTCTTATGTTTTATTTATTTCGTAGTTATATTAAAGACATTTGGTATATCTATTTTATTGTATACTTATATATTTTACGAAAAATTTGGAAATACGAACATTACTCATCAATTTGTGACAAACGTGATTGTGGTTTTATCACAAATGACTTCCAACGAGCCACCAGATAAAGCTTGAAACATTTTTATAAAGGCGATCTTCTAGAGTACATGCAGAGGATTGATGCTCTAACACATGATTATGTCATTTGGACACCGTACACTGACTATATAATGCATCAGAAGTTCGATGAGACATCCTATTTTTTGGTTTGTCTACGATGGGAGGGTGTTGTTACTGCATATTCACTCAGAAGTGTTTGCACCAGTTTGGCTATGTTCAAGGCATTTCTAGATGAGTCCCTGTTGGATCATTTGGGAGACTTGATAGATTTGTTTAGGCAAACATTATGAGCAGTTGTTGTGTTATTATAAATAAAAAATACAATAAATGTGTCACACTCTCATCACACCCCCATATATATGTTACTGGACCTTTGCATGATGAATGTTATTCAGATGACATGTCGTCACCTCCACCCCTAAACATGGTGTGACTGACCAACAGCAAATGCAAATGATAATATTACATTATAAGCCTATGTTCTTGTCATATGTATTGTTACTTTTGTAAGATCTAAAATTTTTTAAAAATAGTGATACAAGATAATTGTTTTAAAATAATATATGGATAATTTGATTTCAATTGGAAGGAAAAAAAGGCAGTAATTTGTGTATATGTATTAGTCTATAAGTGTAACTTCAAGCAGAATTAGAATAGTGTACAACAACTTACTATAAAAGAATGATTTCAGGTAAATATTTTCTGTCGAAATATACAAAAATGAATTGATAAATTGTGGTATAAAATTATATTTCTTAAAATAGTATAGTAAAATGAATTGATAAATTGTGGTATAAAATTATATTTCTTAAAATAGTATAGTAAAATGAATTGATAAATTCTTCAAAAAATATACTTGATAATAAGAATACTCGAATTAAGAAATGGAACGAAATTGAAAGTAGGCAGCAAGCATCAACGCTATATCATTATAAATTCAACAACTTAGAAAATCCAGGACATTATAAATTGAACAGCATAGAAAATCCAGGACAGAATTTCTCAGCCCCGTAAAATTAGAGGTCAAAATTTATTGGCATCAAGTCTTTCAAAAGAAGACTGACTAGCAATCTAACTATAGTTTATTCATCACAACTAAAACCCGCTGCAGCCAAATCTCATTGCTCAAAACTCAGGTTGGATGTCTGGTTTTTCTCCTTTCAAAAGCATTTTAGTAGGGCTCAACAGGAGTACGGAAGTTAACTCCAGCATACACTGCTTCAGCACCGAGCTCCTCCTCAATTCTCAAGAGCTGCGAAATGAGTTGCAAACATTTAAAATATGCTTAAGCTTAACAATGAAATCTGAACCTAATGTAATGAACAGACACTAACCTGGTTATACTTGGCAAGACGCTCTGACCTGCATGGAGCTCCAGTCTTAATTTGACCCTGTTCAAGAAACAATTAACAAAATGGGAAAGTTATTATATTGCACATGGTAACTATGGTGTGATGATACATAGTTGAGCTGAGGTAAGGCAATACCGTTGACAAACCAACAGCAAGATCAGCAATGAAGGTATCCTCAGTCTCTCCACTGCAACCAAAATATAAGAATGTTACTACTATTGTAAGTGATTTCCTTTTGAAAAAAATCTTAACAGCTGTTATTTATCTTATAGGCAAGGTTCAAACCTTCGGTGGCTGGTCATGACACCCCATCCAGCCTTTTTGGACATCCTCACGGCTTCAATACTCTCAGTCACTGATCCAATTTGGTTCACCTGTTTGTTTCATGTATGCCAAGCAATAGTGTATTAATATATTTATCTACCTAGGCCCAATAACTTTCGTAGAAAAAATTCACCAATAGAATGAGAGTACCTTGAGCAGAAGAGCATTGCATGCTTTAGAGTCAATTGCCTTCTGAACCCTCTGTGGACACAATGGAAAAAGACAAGTCAGAAGGACAATCTTTCTAGAATCTCCCAACAAAATATAAAAGATTTATATAATATGCAGACCTTGGGGTTGGTAACCAAGAGATCATCACCAACAATTTGCACATTGGTTCCAATCTCACCAGTCATCTTGGCGTAGTGCTCCCAGTCATCCTGGTCAAAAGGATCCTCAATTGAAACAATTGGGTACTCTGACACAAATGACTTGTAGAGATCTTTCAAAGCCTCTCCAGATATCTTCTGTGAGCCGTCATTGTTCTGGATTGTCAAACAGCAAAATGCCAAAGAGATAAATAAACTAATTATTCATCATCATAAATGTTATATCAGGTTATACTGTATGTTACATAACTTCAATAAAACTGATGCATCTGTCAAGTTGAACATGTACGTGAAATGGCTACCAAGAAAGCAAAATAAAAGAGAAGACATTCAATTCTTAACAAGGATTCTGATAGAACCCCTGGTACTAAGGTGTATACTACATAAAACAGGAGGGGAGGAACAGGATCAGCATGTGTGGTTTAGGGAGAGGAAAAAATGGAGAATATTCAAGATAATGATCAGCCTCGATAGAATGAGAAAGGGAAGTCAGGTGGGGTAAGTTATAATAAGTTTGAAGGGAGAAGTTAGCAGACAATTGTGTGAAGGTTTTCGAGACCTCTGAGCATGAAGGTTGGTAGACTCTTAAGTTTTCTTTATCTTAACATTTTTTTGCTATTTCTGAGTGTCTCTTTAATACCATGCTTCTTTACTGTGATTAGATATATGGTTCCCATCACTTTACAACTAGACTAACAGGTAGAACTTAGAAGTACTATAATAAAAAAAAGGGAGCTCACGTCTTCCTTGAAGTTCAAATCATATGATTTGTCTTCCTTGTAGAACTCGGAAGCTGCAACATCCATTCCAATGACCACCTAAGAACATTTAACAAAATGTCAAACTTCCTTACACGAAGACATTTGAGAAGCCAAAGCACCAAAAATAAAATTTTGGTGAGATGGTAAAATTCTAACTTTGCCAGTGTATCCGGCTTTCTCAATGGCAGATTTTAGCAACTCCAAACCTTCCTTGTTCTCCTGAAAGCCAAAGAGCACATCAGCAACAGATCAAAAAATTGAGGCGGTACCCAAATACAATGCATATAAGGAAACAAGTTATAAACCATCATTAACCTGAATGTTAGGGGCAAAACCACCTTCATCACCAACATTTACTGCATCTTGACCATATTTCTTCTTAATCACAGCCTGAAATGACATCAGCATAACCCATCATTAACAACTACTAAAAATACACTGGTATAGCTCTACAATCAATTTCACGAACCATATGCGAATAGACACCAGGGCTGGCAAGCCATGATACAGGAAACTTTCATATGTTATGTTTCCGGTAAAAGCGCCCACTTAATTACTGGTAAAAAACAAAGCTTAGCAACGGAAAAATGAAAAGCTTCATTTGGTACTATAAAAGTTTGACAAATTATAGATAATATATTTTTACAAGAGATAACCGAGTGTAAGATGCAAACGGACCTTCAAATGGTGATAGACTTCCACACCCATCTTCATGGCTTCCTTGAAAGAGGAGGCTCCCACAGGAAGAACCATAAACTCCTGCATATGTATTGTATATCAATTATTCAATGTGTGTATTCTATCTCTTAAACTAATGCAAACAAGAACACGAGAGGTCTTTGAAATCATACCTGCATAGCAAGCTTGTTTCCTGCATGTGATCCACCATTAATGACATTGAAAGCTGGAACAGGCAAAACCAAATTCTTGTTGCCTGCAATGTTTGCAATATGCTGCACCAAAAGAATGACCAAACAAAAGTCAGATGCATAAAAATAAGAAAAAATCTCAACCAAAAATGAACGACAAAAGAAAAATGGGCTGAGTTGGTGGGTGAGTAACTATGATGAAGGAGGAGGGGTGTCACTGCTGTCAGAATTAGCAATTTCACCATGTATTCTAATAACTCAAGTGTAAAATAATAATTGTAATCAATCTGACAGTATGAGTATAATTACATACTGTAACTATGTTCTTAACACCAAATAGCAATAAAAAAAATGAATACAAGTTTGACGTAAAATAGTAAATATTTTCAGTAATGAACACCTTAATTAGAATACCATGGTTCCATCATCTAACTAACAGAGGACACTAAATATAATTTAGTACCACATTTCATAAATAAACTACCTTGTAAAGAGGGATTTTTAGGACTCCAGCACCAGCTTTGCACACTGCAAGAGACACTGCCAATATGGCATTTGCCCCGAGCTAAAACAAAGAGAAAAACATCAGAATTATAAAATAAAAATCAGTTAAAATTTAGTTAAAGGATTTACAAGCTGAGTATGCTAAGCACCTTTTGTTTGCACCAACCCCACTCGTTAACAGTTCCATCAAGCTGCTGAACCATGAAGTTGTCAATCTCAGTCTGCTTAGTTGGGTCCTGTTCATTGCAAAAAAAGAAGCTTTAGTAACAAAATTAATCTTATATCTAAGACGTTTAAAATCCCTGAACTATACAATCATGGTCATAATTAACAACTTGGGGAAAGCACTATTATTAAATAAATTTAAACAAACCTTTCCGATCAATGCTGGGGCAATGATGGTGTTCACATTGTCAACAGCCTGCAGGTACCAGAAAAAGAGATCAGGAAAACAAAATAAGCAAGGCTTATTTAGTAACGTATTTCACAAGTATGGAGTATAATCAATGAGACACTAGTTTTACCTTTGATACACCTTTTCCAAGATAGTCAGATCCTCCATCTCTTAGCTCAAGAGCCTCATAAATACCTATCAATTTTCAAAAAACAAAATTAAACAGCGTTTCACATATCCAATTCAAGTAAAAACAAGCTATCATCAGCACCAGAGACTATATCTCAGAAAACAACCAAAAATATCACTGGAAATTTCAAAATACATGAGCTATTTTATTTTAGAGGTTTTTTCAAAATTAATCAATAAAACATTCCCAAACTAATCAAATATGATTCGTACCAAGCAAGCAAAATATCAAAACATTAAAAACATCACAGATCAAAAAATTTCATCGAAAATACAGTTATTTTCAAGTATGAAAACAGCACCAGAGAATCGAGAGAAAAGAGTGGAACATACCAGTGGATGCACCGCTAGGAACAGCGGCTCTAGCGAAAGTGCCATCGGAGACAGTAATATCAACCTACAACAATCAGATTCAAATTCAATTTACAATAACGAAAACGAAAACCTAAAACCACCGGAAAAATAAACAAAAATATAAATCGCGAAATGAATTGATAGATCGGAGATGAATCGAAGCTTAGAAAGTATCGAAATGGAAGAGAAGATAAACCTCGACGGTTGGATTGCCACGGCTATCGAAGATCTGACGAGCCTTGATGGAAGTAATAGCGGCCATGGAGGAGGAGGAGAAATCGATGTGAGCGAGAAATGAAATTTGAGATCTGAAGAAGAGTGGAGATAAAATTAACGTGTTGAGTGAGAAACTCAAGGAACCGGTTTCGGGTTTATTTATAGTCCCGATCAACTCTCCTCTTGTTTAGGTTTAGACAACTTTAATCCCTTTTTCTTTCTTTTCTTTTTTTTGGTAATAATAAACTTTAATATTTTAGGTAAAATCAAAATAAAGTAACTAAATCTATTTATTTAGAGTTAAATGTTTAACTTCTTTTAATTTTGCTTTGTTTTTGATTATCGTGAAATTTTTATTTATTTTTAAACACGTGAAAGCGCCTGTGGTTTGTGTTGAGTGGTTTGGTAGGTAGATGCGTGCATACTCGCATATTCGCATTTACAAAGCATATGGTTTGTTGAAACTTGAAAGTTCAAACATGTGGCCCAAAGCCGAATTGAATAACGGCTATAACAAAAATAGATATGCTACTTGATAAGAAAGTTCTCTCAAATTGATTTACTCGGTTGAATATTAAGGGACAAATAAAATAGTACTTCTTTTATTTATTATTATAAATAAATTTAACTTTTCACAGCACATTTAATTATTAGTGTCTCTAGTCTATATATGAACTAAATATATTAATAGATAAATGTACCATAAAAAATTAAATTTGTTTATAATAGTGATTGAATGGTGTATAGATTATGATTAAATAATTTATTTGTTTAAATGGTTAATGAATTTCACATATTATTTAAGATAATTTTAATTTTAATATAAAATTAAATAATTTTAGTTATTTTTTATATATTTTAACTAAACTTTAACTTATGTATAATCACTTAGTTAACAATACCACCAACAACAATATATATATATATATATATATATATATATATATATATATATATATATATATATATATATATATATATATATATATATATATATATATATATAAATAAGGAATTTATACCCTATCATACTATATTGAAACTTTAAGTGTGTAACTAACTTCTAACTACCAACTAACATAAAACTAATTAATTTTAAGTTAATTGGCGATGTGTAATTAGCTTGTCATCATTGGTCATGTTTCCATACTTTGCATGGTTCAATACCCCCCACAAGTTAAAGGTTGATAGATGTTTATCAACTTTAACTTGACCAATAAAGCATGAAATGATTGAGGATGAAGAGACTTGGTGAACAAGTTTGCAAGTTGATCCATGGACTTGACAGGAAGAAGATTTAAAACTCTTTGGCTCTACTTTTCTCTAACATTGTGGCAATCGATTTCCAAGTGCTTCGTGCGTTCGTGAAATACAAGATTCAAAGTAACGTGAAGCGCACTTTGGTTGTCACAGTAAATGAGTGGTGTTTTGGTACATGTAATGTGCAAATCTTTCATGAGATATAAGAGTCATTGGAGTTCACATGCGGTCGCTGCAAAAGCTCGATATTCAACTTCAGATGAAGAAGGAGATACGATTAGTTAGTTCTTTGTTCTCCATGATATGATAAAACAACCAAGAAAGAAACATTGGCCAGATATTGACATATGTGTGTGTCAATACAACTAACCCAATCAGCATCAGAGTAACCATGTAACCGTAATGCAAAGTCTCTGGGAATAAGAATACCTCGATTTGGGCATGATTTGAGGTATTTAAGAATTATGCATACTACTTTGAAGTGAGTAATTGTTGGAGAGGACAGAAATTGACTCAATTGTTATGTGCAGAATGTGATAGGGAACATCGAGGTACAATAATCTCCCTATGAACCTTCTATAAGAGGGAACATCGTGATATGGAATGCTCGAATCTTGTTGTAACTTTAATGTGGGATCAGATGGTGTTGAAACTAGTTTAGAGTCAAGGAAGTCTGAATCTTCTAACAAGTCAGGGCAAATTTTTCTTTGGTCGAGGAGAATGCCTTATTTGGAATGAGCTACTTCTATACCTAAAAAATACTTTAACTTTCACATGTCTTTGATCTTAAATGTGTTGTCAAAGGTTGCTTTGATCAGATGAAACTCATTGAGATCATTGCTTGTAAGTATCACATCATCAACATAGACTAATAATATTGTGATGGAAGAATTATTGGCTTTCATAAAAAGGGAATGGTATGAAGTAGCTTGTTTATAATTATCCTTGAGGAGAAATGTTGCAAGCATTTCATACTGTCTTCTACTAGTTTGCTTAAGTTCATATAAGGATTTAACAAGCTTACAAACTTGGTTAGGCTTGCTTGTGGAAACTCCAGGGGGAATGATCACGTACACATTTTCTTCAATTTCTCCATGCAAAAATGCATTATTTACATCGAACTGATATATATGTAATTGTTTGCATGAATCTAAGGCAATGATGGTTTTCACAGTAGTTATTTTAGCAATTGGTGAGTATGTATCAAAATAATCAAGACTCTTTATCTTATTGTATCCTTTTACTACTAGTTATATATTAAATATGTCAATGGAACCATCAGCGAGATATTTAATCTTGTTAACCCATCTACAACCTATTGGTTTGGCACCTGGTGGGAGATCAACAATCTTCCAAGTGTCAGTCTTCTCAAAAGCTGAAAGTTTAAGTTGTGTGGCTTATTTCTAACACTCATGTTTGGATGCCTCAACATATGTCTTATGTTCGATGTTAGAAATTAAGGACAATGCATAATGAGAATGTGTATATGAGATGGATTCATGTGAAAGAGAATTAGAAAAAGGATAAAGAATATCTTTGGAAGCTTTATCTGGTGTAGTAAGAGAATTACATATATAATCTTGCAAGTAGGATGGATGATGTCTCATTCTTGAAGAGGTTCTAGACGGAGGTTCGTGAGCATCATTTTCTGGTGATTTAAGTGGTTGGTCAGGGGCATCATTTTCTAGTGTAAGAGGCAAGTCATCAATGATGTGAGGAATAGATGGTGTATTTATGCATGGGATTTGGTTTTAGGGTGATGTAGGTGTAAGGTTGAAAGAAAGGTTATTAGGTGGTTCTATAGCAGGTTGGTCAATGATAAATTGAGGTGGTAAAGCATGGCCAATTGAATTTTTGTCTGATTTAGATGGGAAGTAAGACCATTAAGTGTTTAAAGTTTGGTTTTTAGGTTGATAAGGTAAGATATGTTCATGTAAGATAACATTTCGAGACATAAAGATTCCATTGGTATGAAATGTTTAAAGTTTGGTTTTTAGGTTGATAAGGTAAGATATGTTCATGTAAGATAACATTTCGAGACATAAAGATTCCATTGGTATGAAAATCAAGTAATATGTATCCTTTTGTACCAGGTTTATAGCCAAGGAATATGGATTTTCTTGCTCTATGATCTAACTTTGTTCTATGAGTGTCGCAACATGCGAAAAACAACCGACGGAAACAAACAGAAGAGTCGTCATCGAACGTTATTAATTCCAAAGGAGGGAGAGGGAACAATTGAACAAAAACCTAAAAGGAATGAGAAGACAAGGTCATCACAACCAAATCTTGGGTTCGGGAGTCGGTTACGTAAATGGAAGGTATGAGTACCCCTCACGTCTGTTATACTCAACAGGATCCATGCTTGTTGCCTGATCAATGGGTGAGTTATCTAAAAGCTACTGCTAAACAGTAAAGGGAAAAGAAAAAGGAGACTCGATAGAACATTGTCACCCTATGCCTATGTATTCCCCCGTGCAATGGGAAAGTCAGAGTCAACGTAGTTTGGAAAATTACAGGTGATGAGGGGAGGTTGCTCGCCAAGACATTGCCTTCTTGTGCCTATGTATCCTCATCTGGTATGAGAAATCAAAGCAAACATAGTTCGGGTAACTACGGTTAAAAGAAAAAGGGTGTTCACCAAGACTTTGTCATCTTGTGCCTACGTATTCTCATATGATATGAGAAATCAGAGCAAACGTAGTTGGAACAACTACAGTTAAAAGGAAAAGGGTGTTCACCAAGACTTCGCCATCTTGTGCCTACGTATTCTCATCGGTATGAGAAATTAGAACAAACGTAGTTCGGCAAATAAAACCACAGGTTGGTTAAGTGTTTTTTATGAGCAACGCTAAGTTCCCATTCCAGCAGTTAGGGTCGATGCCTGTTTGCGGTAGAATACTTTTTTCTGAAAATGATTTTGAAAGACAATCTCGAAGGATAAAAAAGTTTGAATTTTGTTTGTGAGTTTTAATGAAGTGAATTGAATTTATTTGAGATTTACGTGCACTAAAGACTATGATATAGGAACAAATGCATCACATATCACCCATGAGGCATTGACTAAACACTCTAGACAAGTGAGGAGAAACCCCCACTCATCATTTCCAATATGCTTAAGGCTCGTAGCCCACAACATTCATTGTCTTTATTAAGTGTCTTAGAATTGTTTGAGATGAGAAGAGAAGACTCAAGGGAAAACACTAAAGGGAACTGAAAACCCTAATGTTATCATACAAAATAGTCCTAAGGTTAGGATAAAAGAGAAGTCTACCTAATGTTATCATGCAAAGGATTGAAAGCACAATGTCTCTCCTACCTCCAACTTAATCAGAAATTAAGTGGAACTATGAATCCTAAGGGATCATGTGAACAAACACAAGTAAACATTACATCAATCAATCACAAACAGAAGAAAACTTAAAACTTAACCAAGTCTCAAGAAAAGAAAGAGAGAAAGAAGAATGAGAGATGAAGGAGAAGATGCAACACCAAGTGAACAAACAAGGAAATTCACTCCATAAGACATAAGCATTAAACAAATGCAAGCATTAATCTCAGTCACACAAAGTAAACACCAACATCATGTCAAAGTAACAAGAATGTGTTCACATGTCAAACCATAGCCAAAGATTAGAAGTCAAAGCAATTAGGCAAAATAAGGCACCAATGCATACACAAATGACTTAAGATCAACCATGAAGAAATTTCAATCATAAAGCAAGTTAAAATAAATTCATATGATGTGAGAAACAAGGTAGGGCAATAGCAATGTCAAGATGCATT